AACCAACAGCCTCAATATGTTCTTCTAGCTACTGAAGTGCATATTTTAACCACAATCGAAACCGAATCAGTTAGCAAAAATGAGAATTTCAAATAACATATTTTCTGACATATAAATTGCCATACCCATGTTTGTGACGGTTACATCCAAATTTTTTACATTTAAGCCCTTAAGTATCATCGTAAGGCTAACCAAATTTTGATTGGAAAATGAGTTCCTTGTATGAAAGGACTTCGTTACATAGGGGATACCTTTATTTTGTCGAAATTTTTAGGGCTGTTCCTGAATAAAGTTTGCATCACTATTCCAGGAAGTTACCTGGTTTACTTTGTTAGGTTACAGAGCCGTTTTAAAAAGTTCTTCAAAGGTGACCCTTTTAATGAAGGAACTCCTTAAAAGGTCGATAATCTTAGTATTAATTATCATCCAAAATATCCCCCCCCCTCCCCTTTCTCTGGTTTCTTATGGTTACCTTGTAAGTTGGTACGTTGTACAAGCATGCATCATTGACCTTTTGAAGCGATTTAAGGCTGCAATCCGAAAATCCTGGAAGTCGAGACCTGAAATCAATATTGGGGAAATTTCAATAAATGATTGTAAATGTAGCAGATATGTACACATCACCTACTCAAGAAAAACATACAACTACGATGGATTTCGTCTTTCACTTTAATTGCTCCTCTGCTTTCGTCCAATTTTTTTGTAAGATTTTATTTGTATTCAATTGTATTTTATTGACTGAGTTTCTGTATGATGTTTTGTCGAATAACTCAACATAAGCACTCCGTGGAAGAAAGAAAGAGTGGTTTACCTTCATTGACATTGAATACTATGACAATAAAACAAATCGCAATAAAAATTGACGGTATTATTAAGGTGAAACTAAGTTATAATAATAACACACTCTTTATATAGAGCGCTATTTCTATCGCCATCCAATAGTACTTTATAATGACTGGAGTAAACATAAAGTGCTTGAAAATCCCAACTGGCAGGGGCAGACCAGTTGGTTATTTACACAGCGCAGCTGAGGAGTTGAACTCGTGGCGACCGAGAACAAATCCAGAAAATGGTGGGGTAGAGGACTTGAACCTGGGACTACCAGATTTCAAGTTTAGCATCTTAACCAATCGGTCACACCAAGTAATTTAAGTGTATCTCATTGCCAGATGTTTCAGAGAATGACCTACCTGGTACTTCCCATGAAACAGCCTCGTGAAGTTAAGCACTTGCAGGTCCCTGCATTTTGACGAAAGGTTGTGTAAATTAGAAAAAAATAACAATAATAACTGGTAAGGTGAACAATTTAACAAAATTAGTAGCTAAGAACTGTAAAATAGTTTTTTAAAAAATCGAACACTACTGAGTCAAAATTTCTTTTTGGGTATTGCGAGAATCTGTATCAATACTTAAGGGTTTGATTAGATTTGTGTAAAACACTAACAAATTTAGGTTAAAATCTAAAAGTTGTATTGCTGCCTCCTCATCTGACATTAGACCCTGTAGGTATCGTGTGAATTTTCATGTTTTCATAACTATTTTCATACGCAACTCTAAGCGAAGATCATTCTACCGCTATTTGCGATTAGAAAAGCTCTCTTTTGTCAAGATAATCGAGAAAAAATGAATTTGATTTCAAAAGTTTCACAATTCTTACCAGTATCGTGATTGAACGCAAAGTTGTGACCCAACTCATGAGCAACAATTACATAAGGACCAACACTACTGCTATAAGACCACTACGAAAAAAATATTTACCATTAACCATATGTCGATCTTTAAATTCTAGGATGAGTAAGAAATCTCTTTATACTACGTTTGAGCATGCCCCCTACCAGCGTAATTTAAGCTTAGAAAAAGCCAAGGCCGGCGCCACTTTAGGAAGTATTTCGTTTGAGTGCTGTAAATCCAAACATATCGTAATTACTACAGCCAATCAGAAAAAGGGAAAGATCACAGGGGACCAAAGGGAAAGCAAAGTCAAAAAAGCAATTTGTCTGAAGCGCGGGAAAACGGCGGGGATCAAATCACGACTAATAATTCTTTTGCCTCTGTTTGATCGAGATTGGCGTTGAGATTGGCGATAGTATTCTAAAGGATTTCAGGACATAGTGAGGCAAAAACAATGCAATTCATATTTCTTCGCATAACTTACGGCGTTGATAGAGTTTGAATTTCCACCACACATCGAATTGACCCATGCTAGACCAGCAATATTCGGGGGCCAACTTTTGTGACTGAAAAAAAAAAATTGAAGCGAGATAAACCTGGAAAACTTATTTTCCTCGACGACTGAGGTATAGTTCACGAGACCGGCCAACGACAAAAAGCGAACTTTTTGTTGTCTACTGTTTCCCATTTTCCGCGATAAATATTCCTTGTTCAATACCCACGGATATTCTGCGCGTTGCTCGGCTTTTTTTCTGAGCCCCGTAGGGTAGTATAGTATATGCGTAGTATTTCATTGATCTCCGATAAGTTTCAAAACAAATTAATGATCTACCACACAGCTGCAAGACACGGAAGTTTTCGTTCTTCTTGGCAATCAAGCGACATTGGATGATAGAGGGTTAACTGCGAAGAATATTTTTTTTGAGGTGAAGGACACTATGTTCTAGATCATGTGTTGTAACTCAAACCACCCCCATCGATCTTTTGAGATTCCTGGTGGTTTTCAGAGGATTTTACTCTTTTAAAAGGTTTCCCCTCTAATCGGAAGACGTTTTTGAGTTGGGAAGTGTGAAAAAGAACTTTCGTTATGATGAAAAATTTTACCTTAGTAAAAGAGCGTTGTCATGAGGGAACCTTTTCACCAAATGTTTATTTCGATAGGCCCTGAAATTGCGTAATTCACTCCCTGCATTTCGCACACGCCCGAAAGGATCTCTGTTTGTCCAGATTTCCAAGTACTTCAGAACTATCCTGATGTTGATTCGCTGATAGATCTTTACAAGAGACAAAAAATCAAAAGATATTTAGTTGGTATATAATTAATTCATCCTTTATTAACTTTTGATATGTTCAGCACCATTAGGGAAATCTAAGCAATAAGAAGAATTGCGTTATGACTGTGTACTTATCGATAACAAAATCAAGTCAGATCAAACAATAGTGGAAATTATTCTTTCTTGCTTGAAAAATGCATT